TACTCATCTGCGTATTACATGGTAATAGTTACTCAGATGAATAGATTTCAAACAATATTTGTTTGGAGAGAAGATATCAAAGTGAGGAAGGAAAAAAGAAATGCCCAGAAAGGACATAATGCCACTAAAAAAATGGTGCAGTGGGAAAAACAAAAAATCAGATTTAACTCTTTACAAAGGAGAGCAGACTGTAAACTGTGTTGAAAACCTTGGGTCATTTCCCAAGAGTCTCATCCTGCTGCAGCCTGCCTGCAGGTAACACTTCCAAGCAAATCAACAGGATTCTGATTCCCCGGGAACTGCAAATTAGGTCTCTAACACTAAGATCTAGATCCCACAAGTGCTGATGGCCATACTTAGGTTTGCTTTAAACACATGTGCGTAAGTGTTTGCCAAATCAGGGCCTTGTGCGCTCTCAGGCTAGAAACCTATTCTGGCATCATCAGGACACTGCTTGCTTCACAAGTATTTAAGAAAAAGCAGTGCTTGGTTTCCGACAATCACAAGCAAGAATGTGGTTTTAAAATCACACGGATTAGGCACCAATGCAACCATTCATCTAACGAAAGGGCTGGTGCATGTAATGCATGACACTTACATGTTTAGTCCTTAAGGAATTAACATCAACACCTGAATACAATTCTCTCATCCTTTGGAAGAAAAAAAAAAAACCGTCACCAAATTCTAAGTCATATTCTGTTTAACAGAACTATATGCATGAGGTAACAGCGTGTATCTGTAAAGTTGCTATACAGCTACTCTTAGTTTCTTTTTCTTGGCCTTCAGGACAGGAGGCAAGGAAATCTTAAAAGCAGTCCTGAAATAAAAGCAAAAAAAGTCAGAATTCAGACATGTTGAATGAGTTTCCAGGCCTAACTCATAACAAGCAAATAAGCTAAAAAAGAACACTTACTCGCATGTGCTACAGATAGGACTGAAGTTGCAGAATACTAGAAAAGTAAAAAACAGTCCAGTGTAAGTAAAATCCTTGCCTCGACACAAAATAATTTAGGTCACTTATGTATAAAAGTGTTTGTACACTTACTTGACAAACACACGGAGCAAACGTAACCGATTTCAATGAGATTGCGATGGCAGAAGCAAGCAGCTCTATAGTCAACATGAATGGGGGGTGGAAGGATGAGTTGAGATCTTTGCTCTTGGTCAGGAAGAAAAACCCACTGTATAAGTAAAAGTAGGGTGTAGTTTAAATCTGGGAGAAAAGTACCAAGTTAAATTAAAGAATTCTAGCATAATGGAAAGCAACCCACCCATCTACCAAGTACGTTCTTCTTTACAATTGCACTGGGACAATAAATAGGCAGAAGAGATTTTTTCCCATGTTCTTCCAGGAAATGTTTTGATCATCGCATCAGCATCCAGTATTAACTTTAAACACACTCATCTAGTGATTGCTAGAGGTGACAGAATAACACCCATGGAGACAAGTCACCGATTGATTGATACAAAACAGACAGGGGCAATGGGGAAACTCCCCTACCCGCCACCACTGTACTTCATATTTTGACCTGGTAGGAACACCTCTGCAGGAAGGAGAGTTTGTAATCTCCTTGGGCCACAAAGTTACTGATCTCTATGCCAAATATGACAGTTGACCCGAGCAGGGTGTGGGGCCCAGGGCAAATCAGCCTGCGCAGGGCCCCACCCCTGGACGCAAGGAAGCTGGCAGTGGATTTGGCGGGGGCGGCTCCCAAGCGGCCGGACATGAAGCCAGCGGCAGTGCGGAGTTGCCACGGCTGCTCCACCAAGCTCCCCACAAAGCACAGGGTCTGGGGCAGTCACCCCGATTTGCACCCCTCCGGGGACAGCCCTGACCATGTTTATAAGTTAACTGTCCATTTTGATCAGCCCTGTGTTGTAGGTGACTCACAACTGGGAACTGGAATCAGACCACGTCATTTATAATAAAGCAAGAAACAGCCATCAGATAATCAGACCTCTGAGTCAGCCTCCATCTGGACTGGGATGGAACCAGCAACCCAGGAGCAAAGGTTAAAAATACTGCTTTTTCCCTTAACATCCCCTCTTTATAAATGCCAAATATCAGATGTTAAGCACAAGCACTTCAGCTAAGCAGTGTTTTTAAACACCAAGACATACTTCCCCTTATTCAGTTCCCCAGTCTGTCATGTTAGGGTATCCTCTCACAACAATGCAACTTATCTTTTACTAAGCCTGTCAGGCTGACCTACAATGAGCAAGCCATGTGTGAAAGTCCTCCTGCAAGACCCCCCCTGCCAAGTTGTTTCCAAAGCCCTCTAATTTTCCAAGACGACATCTACTGAAGCAGAAAGAAAATGAAACCAGAACAGCTGAATCCCTGCAAGCAAATGGGGTTTCTAAGTCTCAATTTCTCGGTCAGTTCATGGAATCTACCCCCGCTCCCAACTAAGTCGATAGGAACTTCGGAAGCTGCTGCTCTTGTTGCATGCTCTTTTCACATTCACTTACCAACAAATACTGCAGAAGGGACGGCATGTGGGGCACTTTCAAGTATATGCCTCCTGTGATGTCACAAGCCTGAAAAGCACATGCTATAAACACTTAGCACAAGGACAATCTGATATATGCCTCAAGAGAAACACCTACATGCTACAGAAAGGCTAGAAAAGCCATAAGTCCTACAGATTTCAAATCTTAAAGAAATTACTTGCCCTAGATACTCTCAGTCCCGAATCATCTCTGGGAAAGCTGGACAGGGGACAACTCTCCACACAAGAAAATGTTTTTTTCCACTGGTTATCACAGTAAAAGGACAGAAATTAAGTGTGGATGTCTATGGGCCTCAATCAGAGAACCAATAAGTTTTTAATGAACGTTTCTGAAAACAGAACCGTTCTTACAATCATTTGCACATCTTAAATCTTTTAACATTCTTCTCGATTTCTGGATAAGTTTTTTCGAATTCTAAGACTAATTTTTTTCCTCTTCTCACATTAGCAGGTATGAGCTCTTCCCCTCTAGGCAAAATCTGCAAAAGAATTCTGAGAAAAGCTATTTCAAATGCATCAAGCTACCTATCATAGTATACTGATTTTTTGTTTTTCAACCAAGACTTGAAAATAGTCAATAAGCAATACAAATATGTACATGGTACCTGCTGTAGGAGCCCCGAATCGTTCTCCAAAACACAGGCATCAATCAAAATATTCTGCAATCAAAAAGATTAAATGTAAGAATCATAATTACAGCAGCAAAAAAAATAACCCTCCAGTAGAATTACTGCCCTGAGTTTACACCTAAATTGAAGCTTTTGAACTCTAGTGCGTATTGCATGTTCCAGCCTTCCTCCCCACCAAATGGCTAGGCAAGGACTGATGGCTGAAGCTTATCCAACATACCACATATATAAGATGTAGGAAAGTGGGGGCTGGACCTCAGTAGCAATCTTGGGCAGACCTGGTAGCCTTTTTGTGTTACAGTGCAATGACATGCACCTACATTTAGCTCAAACACTTTCTCCCCGAGTGTGAAGATGCTCACATCTCCCAAAAGATCCCATAAACTAGAAGCACATAATGCAACAGTGACAATCTTTTTATGTTTGAGTGTGTTGATATTGAAAAAAATACCCAAATAGTTAACCACCTGATAAAACAGTAACTTCACCTGTTTCTGTGCTGCAAAGATCACATTCATGAAATTCATATACTGCAATGCACTGTCTTCTGCAGCTTTTATAACCTGAATAAAGCAATCAACAACCATTATTGCACAGACAAGACTACTGGATTTTAAAGCCATTTAAGACAACTGAAGGCAGAAGTTCTTACCAAAATTCTTGATTTTATTTCTTGGTTGGCTACATATTGGAGACATAAAAAAAACCCATGCATTAGTATCCCATAAGTATGCGATTAACCACCAGTATTCTGTCTTCCTAATTCTACATTTTAGTTTAACACCTGAATGAAAGCAAGAGACTGTTTTTAGTCATACTAAGACCAAATATGAAATGATGAAGCTAAACCTCTAGCAGAAGTCACCAGAATAAATTCAGAGTTGCTGTGAAAGTGGATACTGTTACATTCATTCCTAAAAAGCCACTGGATGATGAAGAACAAAGACAATTTCAGTGTGGTTCACTGTCAGTTTACTTGGTCAAACAGAGACTGGATCACAGGTTTTTAAAGCCATTCTGATGGTATTTTACACCACTTCTCTGTAAAGCTAAATAGAGAGTTTACTTTAAGACTGGCTTACATAATCAAGCCACAGAATACAAGCAGCAGTATCCAAATTCATTTTTGAAACTGTTGAGTATAAAACTTGAATCTGAAGGGTAGTTTTGCTCTACATGTGGAAAGATTTCCCTTTCCTTAGAGCTGACCTTCTGTGCTTGGTTTTAAAGTTCTAACATGTTTGCTAAAGCCATACAATTCTTGCATGTTCTTTCCTCGTCTACTAATCTGCAGTCAAAACTCAATTTGTACACCTTTAAAAAAATTGGGACAAACCCTTACTTCACCACTATAGCCAGCTAAGAAAAGCTCTGCATTTTTTCCTCCTCTTAATTCTAACACTCAGAAAAATATGCAAACAACAGAAAAAAGTACCTTTTACCTCCTTGGTCAGCCTGTGAATATCTGTATTAGCTTTTATTCAGGAAATAACATTTTATTCTAGGAACACTTGAGAAACAGATGTATAAGTCGTTTAAAACAACAAAACAGGAAATATGATACCTGCACTGAACAGTTTAACCAACATGCACAACTTTACCAGAAGTTCAGCTCTCAAGCTATGATATTCAGAAGTCAGAACTGAAAACAAAAACATACTGGTTAAGACTACTACCAAGAGAGTGCAAGGTTTCTGGTAGCAATATGGGTCCAGCACAAGAAGGATTTTCGCATGCATTTATTTTTTTAAAGAAAAAGATATTCTAAATGGGCAGTTATGGGAAGGATACAACAAAGTGCTTTGGCAATTGATCCTGCCAATAAAGTTTCTGTTTGTTGGCCCTTCACATCAGCTGTAATACAAAAATGCACAGAACTGGTTATTGAATAAAGTCATTCCCTTATCTAATGCCATACAGTTCATTCGATCAATTTTTCCTGGACAAAACATTAAAGGCTGGCTCTAAAAGTGCTGAACTTCTCAGCGTCTCATTGGCCTTAAGCACATTCTCATAATGAAAGGGAAGAATAAGCTTCAGAAGACAGAAGCAAAGGAGAGTCTATCATATAGCATAATCTCCTGAAGCATCTCCTTTGCATGTAACATTTCAAAATAATACTTCCCCTCATTTGATGGCACTAAAAACTGAGCATGCTACAGAAACCACTACATTCTTTAACAGAAGATCATCTTACTTTTTGTCATGAGTTCTTTAATCTCCTCTGCGATTGTTTCATTTATGGCAGTTAATAATTCGTATTTTCCATCCTTGCTGCCAGCGCAATTAGATTCTACACAGCTGCCACCATCTCCAAAGAGATCTGCAAATGCCCAGCGCTTTCCAGGGTATAAGAAACGACTGAAAGAGAACCAGCAACACAGTATTTGCCTGTTACTTTAATAATAATTGAGTTACAAGCACAACTTGAGCCGCTCATAGAAAGTGAAAGTCAAAGGTGACTTCATTCTAAGCAATGGTCACCATGGAGTAAGGAGTCTTTTTAAAGCTCTACGCGGTGTAAGGATGTCCTGGTGGAAAGGCTCTCTGAGAGAGACCCTGAGGAGAACTAGTCTTCAGACACTACCTGAATGCAGGGATCAACCTCCTGTTTCTTATTCTTAGATCAGAAAGTAGTAGCAGCTTTGAATGGAAAGGTCAGACAGGAAAACAACCTCCTTTTATTCCTTTAGTGCAGCAATCCCCACTTCTCCAAAGCCTTAAAAAACTATATTGTTTTTCCACTTGTTCTTCTGTATTAGTCCCCAAATCCCTTCCCCGTCTGTTTTCACTCATTTTAATAGGGTATTTAAGCCTATTTAAAATAGGTCTAAATTTAAATTAAACATTATATATTTAAATCTGATGCCAACTATTCTTTGCAGCACACTGAGCAATTCAGGCGAGAGACGTGGGTGGGAAATTATAAAAGTAGTGACGCTATTCATAAAAGTTACCGTACCTTTCTTGTGTATGGCTTGCAATCACAGCAAGTCTGTTGTTGCGATTCATGAACAAGTGCGAATTCCCCATCACCATCACTGCATCCAGGCATTTTGACAACGTAAACTGTTGGGAAAACAGAAAAAGACGAGGCGCAACGTGTGAAAGAGTGAGGAAAACGTGGTTTAGCACCATCACCATCTGAAACAAAAACACTCTAAACAAATCACTGCTTCAAAGTAATGCCTTCCTCAGAGTTCGATATTCACAAAGGCGAGAAGCTGAAAGGAGGCAGCAAATTCCCTCCGAAGGACAGAAAGCATCAGTGACGCTCCAGAAATATGTAGCGCTAGAACGATACTTGGATAGGGCTCAAAATCTTTAAAAAAACAGCGAGAGAGATCAGTTATTCGCTCACAATAACTCTGGGAGGAGAGGAGAGCCGTGGTCGCATAAGGGGATGCACGAATGTGTGTTTGAATCTCTGTTCAAGTCTCCTCTGTTCAACAGAAAGTTGATCAGAGTTTCAAACACCCGTGCATCCCCTAACGCGACCGGGGCGCCCGACCCAAGAACATCACGGCCTCGCTTCAGCCGTGCCGAGCCCCTGCAGCTTTTGGCGATTCCAAGCACACGCTCGAGCGCTCCACACTCCTGACAACACTCCTGACAACCGGGGCCAGAGGCAGCAAACCGCAGCACCCAACTAACGGGCAGATGGTAAAGGGTGGAATAAGCGAATGGGCCGCAGGCGGGGAGAGGCTGTCGGCCCCGCTCTCAGTGTGCACCGCCATTCCTGTTGAGACGGCACGTCCCGGTAAGGGGTGTCGGTCCCCGGGGCCACCTCCCCGCACTGCAGCTGCGAGAGAGCCACCCACCCAAGGAGCGTTCCGCAGCTGGGAGCCCACGACGGGCGCCCTGGGGCCCGCACACGCGAGGACAGGAGCTGAGGGCGCAGCCGCGTCCCCCGGGGGGCTGCCTCTCACCTCGCCGCCTCCCTGCGCCTTCTGCCCCCACCAGATGGGGTTGG